GTCACTGTGGCTCGCTCGGTCGAAAGAAAGCGAGAGGCAAGCGTAAGGGTAAGAGTAGGTGTGGAAGTCGTAGGGCAATCCCGACTGAAGGTGGATGCTCCTACAGCACTCTTTCTCTTCCCTTACGTCGCGCTCAAGCACCGAGTTATGAGGCCATCGGTTCGGGAGGGATGTCTCTGGAATGAGACCGACCTCCGACGCTGCCCCTTCAAGCTCGCCTGCTTCATCCATCTTAACTAGACAGACCGGCGGCTTTGAGGTTGGGCGCAAACCGAAGAAGTGCCTGAAGTTCTTGGCGTGGTTCTGAAGCGTCCTGCGAGACAGTGGGTAAGCAACCCTAGCCCCTGAAAACACATCCCTTACAACGTGGTGTGACTTCACCCCCCCTGTCCCTACGCCACGGTGGTCGTCACCTCGGGCCATGATGACATCATCTGTTGCGATCTGCTGCCACGGCGCGGTGGGCACATCGATGAGATCATCGGACTTGGTGTCTGGCTTTTTGGCAACTTTCATCGATGTAGTCTTGGCAAGGCTACATATTCGGCAAAAGGGGTTCTTAGGGAAGTGTGTAAGGAGGTGCTTCGCGGACTTAGCTTCAGCCATTAAGGTCTCCCGTTTGTGCGGTTTTAAAGACTTTGGGTCCACTAAGTCAATCAGAGGTTTGTCGTCCTCCGGATCGACTGCAGCACTGGGCACAGGCTTTTCGGGCGCAAGGGCGCTGGTTGCAGCCCCTTCCTCGAACAGTTCAGAGAACGAGGGGGAAGGTGGTTCTACAGCAGCTGACTCTCGGGCACCGGAAGGTGCGCTCCCTTCAGCGCTTGACCTAAAAAGCTGTGCTCCAACCTTTGAGGCAAAGTCGTCCGCCTCCTCGAGGTGACCGGCTTCAAGCTCCTCGTCGCTAGTAGCAACCTCTGTGGGGGCGTACCCTGGGAGATCACCAGTGCCACTTCCGATGTCTTCGTCAACAACGGACACGGCGTCGGATTCAACAGCGCTTGGCGAAGCAGCTGCCTCAACGGGACTTAGCTGCTCAACGGACTGGTGAACTACAGGCGACAACCGTTCATCGAATTGCGGCACGTATTCTACGACCCTGGAAGCATTAAGCCTAGCACCCCTAGGAACCCTAAGCTTGCAGCGGTGGACTTCTGAGGCAGGCACGAAGTAGGGGCCAGGTTCCTTAGGGTCCCAGACAAAGAGACAACCTTGGTCCTGGACGGCCTTTCCTACACTAAGTGCTGGAGGGCACTCTTTCAGCACGTAGACCTGTTCCTCTTGCGGCACTAGCTTGCTGCCCCCAAACGACAGAGACTGGGTGCAGTGCTGGGCGCCACCACCTGTTGCAAAACCTACGGGCGTGCTTGTTGTGCGGACGCAGGCGCGCATGTCAGAGCTCAAAGCCTGGCGGCCTATGAGATGACGACCCGCGGCAGTATCCCACAGCCATGTCACATTGTTCTCTGTGCTGGCTATGTTGCTGGCAGGCATTGCCGGGATGACTGCTGCGATTGCTGCGTTAGCCTTCGCCTTTGCCTTTGGCTTTGCTGCGGCCCTCGGAGGGGGACCAGTGTACTTCTTCTTGTCGTCGTGCAAGAAGGGGCAAGGATCGGCTTTACACATGCCGTGAGCATAGAACATGCAGGGAGTCTTCTTCTTTTCTGCCGCTGTCATGTCTTTCACCCGCTTGACCTCTGCAGATCTCGGGGTGGTGTCGCCTTTGCCTCCGCCCTTGTCACCCTGGCGCGGTGTTGTTCTGGGAGACTTGTCTCCTTTACCGCCTTTCCCCTTTCCTTTGGGCGCAGGTGCTGCGGGGACTTCTTCGTCCTTCTCTTTCTTTTCTTTCTTTTTCTTCTTTTTCTTCTCCTTCTGCGGCTTGTCGGCAGCCCCTTTCGGGGCAGCGTTGGGCGCAGGAGTGGCAGGAACACTGGGCTGGTCTTTGCCAGCGGTGGCGGTTGAAGTGAGCACCTGCGGCTTTGCACGGAGATTCTTGTCGAACTCCTCGCGGTTCACCTTTTGTTGGTGAAGCTGCAGGGCGAGGTCAACCTTAGACCAAAGCCACTCCGACGTCCGACGGTGACTGCCAGACGCTGCTTCGCGAGCCTTTTCGCAGCGCGGTCTCATGATCCCGTTCTTTTCGAGCTCATCGAGAAGATGATTGAACATCGTCTGCGGGCGCGGCAGCTCATCGATTGGGATTGTAGTGAGCACGTACAGGTATCGGTCTCTAAAGGCTTCAAGTGCAGCGGCGTCGTTGCCCTGCATCTTCATGCTCAAGAGATTCCTCTCACCTAACATACCTATCCTATCCCTCTCAAGCTGGAAGTGCTTAAAGATCGACCGCAGCATGACCCTACCATTGGGCATGCCACCGGATGCCATACGCTCGGCCTCGGTCATCTGCTGGAAGAGAAGACCAAAGCGGCCGTTACGGCAGGTCTTTAGCAACTTTGCCGACACTTCGCGAGTGAGGCGGGGAAACCTAGGGTCTTGCTTAAGCTGAGCCTCTGTGTGAGTGAGGCACTCCTGCGCCCACTGGTAAACTTCATCACCAGGGGTTCGCTGAACACGAGCTATGGCAACTAGAACCTGATTAACATAACCCCTAGCTTGACCCGCGTTAGTGGGTGGCTGTGGGAAGGTCATGTCGGAAAGACTCTTGACCCTGATCACGGTCTCTTCGTAATCCGCAGGTGTCTGGACCTCCCCCGGTGCGCTGGAAGCAGCACCCCTTCCTGGAGACGCTGCTGGTGGCGGCAACGGTGGACCACTACCTGAAGGACTACCCCCACCCCCATCCCCACCCCCGCCGTTGGAAGAAAGCCACGGACAGTCTACCTCTAGGTGCAGCTTACTGCCACAAACCCGGCAGGCTGGCTTAGAGGAACCCTCTGAGGAAGACGAGCTTTCAGAACTGGCTTCGGAGGCAGGTCTAGGAGAAGTTGGTGCAAACAGTTGCGGTGCCTGTGTTGGCAAGTGCAGTGTCGGAACTGGTGCTGTTGCTGACGCCTCCGTTGTGGGAGGTGGTGGCGTTACACTAGAAGACACAGACGGTTGCTGCAAAACAGCCATGGCTTGCGCTAAGGTTTGCACTGTTGTAAGGAGTTCGCCGACCTGAAGGCTCAACGCTTCAACTTCAGGGTTGCGCGTGGGACTCTGTTGCACAGCTGCCGCCTCTGGTTGTGCAGAGGGAGCATCGGAGCTTGAGGTTGCAGGCTGCTCGGCGGGTTGTGCCGCTGAGGCTTCCGGTGCGCTAGGAGCAGCACCCTCTTGGGGCGACTGCGTCGGGGGCTTGGGCCCCCCTGCTGGCACACTGGGTTGCAAGACTGCTTCCTCGCCCCTATTGCGGGCGGCTGGCGATGGAGTTGTAAGAGCCGGGCCATTATGGCTTGTGTCAGGTGAGAAAGACATTGGGGGCCAATGCGCTCGCGAGGTTGCTTTCGGAGTCACCGCTGGCGCAACTACGTCTAGCTGCGTGTTAAGTTCAGCCTCTCGCCGAGCCCAATAGTCATCTGTGAGCCGGCGTTCCGCGATCAGCTGCTCAACCCTGCGGTTGCTCTCCTCCCTTTCACGTTGCGACTGTGCGAGCTGTTGCTCTAGAAGGGCTATGCGTTCCAACGCGGTGCGCTGTGCTGCTAAGACCTCTTCCTGTGCCGCGGCGCGGGTGTGAAGAACTGCCTGTGCGGCCTCAGCCCTGACCTGGGTTACCTCAGCCTGTGCCTGAGCACGGGTTTGGTCCACGGTGGTCTGAGCCTCGACCCTCGCTTGGGTTACCACGGCCTGCGCCTGAGCACGGGTGTGGTCCACTACGCTTTGAGCCTCCTGTCTGACACCTTGAGCCCATTCGCCGGCCTGTTGTGCGACCTGCTGGGCTTGAGCCTGTGAGCTTGCAGCCTGAGCCTGTGCGGTGTTCGCGGCGTGCAGTGCTACTTGCGCGCTCTGGTGTGCGTGCGTGACTGCGGCGCCCGCGAGAAAGGTAGCCTGAGTAGCAGTAAGTTCGGGAGGCCTCTGGGTTCCACGGGGTGAGGGCGAGGATGATGAGTCTTGTCGCCTACCCCTACCGGCGCTAATGGTGATCAGCGGGGCTCTGGTACCTGGTGGCCTTTGTCCCTGAACTATGGTTGCTGCTGCGGGAACAACGGGAAGGTCAGGTGGAGGTGCGAGGTCGGGTTCCGAAAAGGAAGAGTCCCCTAGCCTACTTGACCTAGACCTTTCATCGGACGGTGGGGTTATGCCTGCCATCCTAAACCCTATGTAACCGCTGCGGCTCAGACCCTTCTTTTTGGCTGGCTGCGAAACGATGTGGCGCAAAATGCGCAAAGCAATGCAAATTAAGTACGATACAGCACGCGGGAAGGATGCAACCGAAGAGTTATAACCCTAGCTTAGGCTATTAGCTCTATGTTCGGGCGCCTTTGGCTGCCCCCTTCCGGTGCGAAAAGAACTCTGGTGCACGCGCTTCGGCGGCACTTGCAAAAGAAACTCGGGGATTACAGGCCTTAGGGTTTTAGGGTGCGAGGCGGCTGCTGGACGTTGCCTTCGGGCGCCGTGGGCTGCCCCCCTGCACCTGCGCCTGGACCTGTTCCTTGCGAACCTTGCGGTGCCTAAGGAAAACCGGGACCTACCTTAACAACCTTAGGGCTTAAAGGTCTGGGGTGCGGCGTTTGCCGTGCACGCGGTCGGGCCTGGACCTTCGACCTGCGGGCGCCTTGTGCTGCCCCCCTGCCTTTGGCCTCTGGCTGTTGGGTGGTCGCTGTGGCTGTTGTTGCGGGCCGTGCCAGTCTGCCCCTTTTTGGTAAGTTGGGCGACGGCCGGTTGCGGGCGGCTTTGTGGTCTGCCGGTCTGCCCCTTGTTGGTGAGTTGGGCGACGGCTTGCCGGGGACGACGCGGGTTCCACCGGTTACTTAAGGGGGAGGTGAGGCAGGATGCCGTGCACACGGGTTCGGGCCTAAACCGTAGAACCTATGGGCGCTTGGAGCTGCCCCTCACCCCTTAGAACCTTAGCGGTGGATAACCTCCAAGTACTGGCTTTGTGCCAGCCTTGTTGCTCCAGTCGCTCCGGTGCGCTCTTCTCCCAAGGAGTGGAGCGACTCGCTGAGCTGCTGGATCGCGTCGAGGAGGTCTTGTTCAACAAAGAACCTCCGATCCGCCGGCTTCACGACCTGGACGCACTTGCAGCCCGTTCGCCGCGACTCCTTGACGATGTCGCGGTTATCGTCCACAAGGTAGTGGGCGCCTGGCTGCTGCCCCTGTACCGGGCCCAAGGAGTGCAACAACTCGGCTTTTCCGCCCGACCCCGTGCGTTCAAAGCACTGGTTGTAGGACGAAAAGGTGACACCGGCTTCCCGCTCAAGGCTGGGAAGTGCCGCTAGGGCTTCAGACCGGTGTGCTGCCGCCTGCCCGCGTCCGGTGAAGGAGAGCACGTGGAACACCAATGGTCTGTGGGTGGACCACAGATCACCGATGGCTCTCACAACCCGCGGGCTCCAGTTGCCCCGGTCCAAGCCGAGGTCAAGCACCTTGTGCCAATCCCAAACGATCGAGATCGTTGGGCGCAGCCCCACTTGCCTGGGCGCAGGTGCCACTGGAGCCTTTGCTGCAGCCTCTTCCCTTCTGCGCTGCGCGGCGGCTTCTTCTAGCCTGGCTCTGGCCTGGGCTTGCTGCTCCCTTAGCTGTCGTTGTTGGAGCCTTTCGGTTGGGGCAGCTTTAAAAGGCAACTGCTTGGGGGCGGCGGGGCTTTAACCCTAGGCTTAACTACCGTGGGACTACGCGAGCGATCGGCTGCCCCAATGGCGTGGGCGCCCTGATCAGGGTGCGAACGCGGTTCGGTGCTGCCGCTCGCTGGCTCCCCTGCTGTTGTTGCCTTGGCCTCTGCCTGTGCCTTTGCCTCTGCCTCTCGCCTCCTTGCTGCGTCAATCGCCCACTGTGGCGGTGGAGACGGCGCGGCCTTCGAAGGAATTGCCGGCGGCCCCTTAGGATCAGCTGTGGGCGCCTCCGTTGGCGGTGGCGACGGTACTGCAGGTGGTGGTGGCACGGCAGGAGGAGAGATCGTAGAAGCTGTCGGCGGTGGCGCCGGTTGCTGCTGCAGCCGGTGGCGCCGGCACTGTCCTAACGCGGCTGGGCGCACTCGGGGCTGCCCCTGTTGCGGGCTCCTTGACCGAGCCGGGCTGGACGGCCTAGCTTCTATAACCTCACCCGGCCTAAAAGCACCCACTCCTAGACTAAACCCTTCTGCTGTCCTCTCGCCCTGGCGGTCGCTCACCACAGGAGCTGTTGCAAGGTCAAGAGAGGCGGGCCTTCTGGAATAAGCTAGGGCAAGGTCAGCCCAGACAGCCTGAGGAAGATCGTAGGGATCGACCTCCTCAGTTGCAGCCCCTGCGGTTGTGCTTTCGGGCGCGGCGTCCGGGAGCACCTCTGCGTCCCTAGTGCCTATTTCAGGTGCTTGGGCGGGGCTTACCAGTATCCAGATGCCTTGGCGATCTACTCTTACCGTTGGGTAGCTACCAGGAGGGAGGTTAGTCGGTGGCTTTAAAATCCTAGGCCTTACTCGCAGCCACCCCTCAGGCACTGGGCGCTCGGGTGGCTCAGAGAAAGCACGCTCGGAAAGGTTAGGTGAAGCAGGGCTATGTACAACTAGCGCTGGCGGCGAACTATGTACAGGCTCGTCCACTTCACACTCCTCAACCACCGGCTCCTCCTCTTCTCCCTCAGCGTGGGCGACGCCACTGACTTCAAGGTCCTCAGCGGCCCCTGCGTCAGTGTCGTCGGGCGCTTCCTCCTTAACACCCGCGACCTCGGCAACCACAGGCTCCTCGGATCCTGGGTCGCCTTGGTCGTGGGCGTCGGTGACTGGCCCTTGGTCGTCGTCGCCTCCCAGCTGTGGCTCCTCCTTTGGCAGCACGTCCGACGCAGTAACCGGCTCAGCGGCTTCTTCTTCAGCTGTGGCCTCGGGTGCGGCGGCCTCTCGAGATGCAGGCGCTTCTTCTGTAGTCGCTGCCTCTCCTGCTGCTGGTGCCGCTCCTTCGGCCTTTGCTGCTGCCGCCGGTGGCGCGGCCCCTTCAACCTTGGGCGCGGCCACCGCCGGCCCAACTCCAGTTGAAGATGCTGCTCCGCCGGCTCCAGTGAGCGGGGTCGCCTCGATGCGAGCCGGGGTCCCAGCGGTGTCCCTTGACCCAGACGCAGGTGTTGCTGGCGAAGTCGGCTGTGGCTTTGCCTTCGGGTTGGCTACGTTCGGGGTAGCCGGGTCTGCGGGCGCTTGTTGCTGCCCCTTGCCCTTGCCTTTAGCCTCCTTGCCTTTGCCTTTTCCCTTTCCTGCGCCTTTGGCCCCGCCCTTGCTGACCGGCACGACGGCCGCAAGGGCTGGGAGCACCTGGCAGAGACGGTTCCAATCCGCAGCGTAGCTGTCGTAGATATCGCGGATGCCGTCCAAGTGGCGCTGATGGCCGCCACCCTCCAACACGCGAAAATCTTCACGCGGCAACGTAAACCCAAAAAGCCGATTAGCTTGATCTATAGCGTAATCTTGGTGTGTGTAAAACACCTGCCTTCTTCTACGTTCACCGCCTCTGTCGCCACGCGGCTGTCCGGCCATGCACCGAGGCTGCCCCTCCACCGGGCGCGCTCGGAATCCTAAGCCCCTCTGCCTTAGCTGCCCCTTTTGGGCTACTGGGCGCTGGGCTTACTTAAGGCACTGCGGTAGGTCTCACTACCTACGGCTGATAACCAGTTAAACAGAACAAGACACAACCCACACGAGGCCTACCGCAGAGAAGTGCAATAGACGCTCTTTTTCTAGTCATGTCTTGAGCCAAATACATTGTAGAATTCAGTGTGAAACGAACACTCTCTGAGCCTACGGCGTAAGGCCTAGAAGCTATGCTTTACTACACCACTACTAGGTGCTTAGGGGTCGATATTTCTTAACTTTAAGGAACCCCTCTAGTGAACCCTTAAAGGAACCCCTGGAGATCCCTTGAAGGAGCCGTAGGTTTAGGGCATATTCCTTACTTAAGTTTTGCTTCCTTTAAGGGCTCCTTAAAGGGATCTTTAAAGGGATCTATAAGGGCTCTATAAGGAATTAAGGAAGACCCTCTAGAGACCCCTTTTAAGGAACCCCTATAGATCCCTAACCCTTAAAGGAACCCCTATAGACCCTTAAAGAACCCTTCCAGATCCCTTTAAGCAGCTTTAAAGGAAACCTTAAGACCCCTAGAGATCCCTTTAAGGAACCCTTCTAGGGAACCCTTAAAGGAACCCTAAGACCCCTAGAGCTCCCTTTAAGGAACTCCTTCAAGTCCCAGGGGCTTCCCCCAGGGCGGGAGCCCCACTCCGAAGGCCGAGGTCTCCCCGGAGTAGTCGAGGAGGTTAAACCTGAAACTAGGGCTCCTTTGAGGGTTTAGGATTTAAGGTTGAGGGTTTAGGGGTTAGGGTTTAAGGGTTTTTAAGGGATCTGTGGAGGTTATATAAACCTGAAACTAAGGTTGAGGTTTGTTTTTTGAGGGGTTTAGGCTTTAGGGTTAGGGTTTAGGGTTTAAGGTTTAGGGGCTGCAGTTAGGGGTTAGGGTTTAGGGATTACAGTTAGGGTTTAGGGGGGGTTAAACCTGAAACGAGGGTTCCTTTAAGGGTTTTTTAAGGGATCTGTGGGGGATAACCCTAAAACTAAGGAAACCTGAAACTGGGGTTCAGGGGTTTAGGGTTTAGGGGTTACAGTTAGGGTTTAGGGTTCTGGGGTTAGGGTTTAGGGTTTCGGGGTTACAGTTAAGGTTTAGCGTTTAGGGTTTAGGAGAGGTTAAACCTGAAACTAAGGTTGAGCTAATCAAAGCCGATATTAGGATTTTTTGGGGATTCAGAGGTTACACGGAATTAAGGTTTAGTTAAACCTGAAACTAAGGTTGAGGGTTTAGGGTTTAGGGGTTACAGTTAGGGTTTAGGGTTTAGGGGAGGTTAAACCTCGGACGTGAGAAGACTTTTAGATGTTAGGGTTTTTAAGGGATCTGTGGGGGCTAGCGGTGTGGGTTCCGTTAAACCTCGGACGGATTTTCAGGGCTTTAGGGGTTCCTTTAAGGGTTCCTTTAGAGGGTTCTATAAGGGATAAACTTCGGACGCGAAGAATTTTAGATGTTAGGGTTTAGGGGATTAGGGTTTGAGGGTTGAGGGTTTCAGGAATCAGGGTTGAAGGTTTGAGGGTTGAGGGTTTAGGGGTTAGGGCTTCAGGGGTTTAGGGCTTTTGGGGGGGGGTTCCTTTCAGAGTTCCTATAAGGGATCTGTGGGGGCTGTTGGGGTTGGGTTTGGGGGGATGAATTTTGGGTTCAATATTTCAAGGCTTGGGTTTTGGGGTTTAGGGTTTTAGGGTTGGGGGGTTTATAGGGTTTCGAGGTTTACGAGATTAGAGGTTCCTTTAAGGGTTCCTTTAAAGGGTTTCTTATTAAGGGTTCCTGTAGAGGTTCCTGGGTTTCTTTAAGGGCTCCTCTAGAGAGTCCTTTGAGGGTTCCTTTCAGGTTCCTTTAAAGGTTCCCTTAAGGGTTCCTTAAAAGGGTTCTATAAGGCTTCTGTGGGGGATGTACGTAAGGATTTAGGGTTTAGAGGTTTAGGGGTTTAGGGTTCAGAGGTTTAGGGTTTAGAGGTTTAAGGATTTGATATTTAGGGCTTACGGCTTTGGGTTTAGGGTTCGGGGAGGTTCATGTAAGTGGGGTTATAAGTTTTCTAATATGGGTTATAATCATAGTTACTGTGCTTATACTTCTAACTCCGTACCCATGACCCTCCAAGTAAGACTTCGTGTACCTATACAGGGATAGTGGCAGGTTTGTGCTGCTTAGGGCTTAAAGACTGCAGAGGGTTAAAGGTAAGCCCTAATTCCCTAACCCGATTTGAGTTTTGGGCAGTTTAGGTGAGCCCTTCGAAAACCCTAAGGCTCCATGCATCTATTATCGGAACCCCTTTAAGCTGTAAGTATAAAACGGATCCTTATGATCGAGGGTTAAGTGGTTTCAGGACTTAAAAGTCATGGATTCTGGGCTCCCTTAACTCTGCATGCTAAGCCGTCCTTCTCTATCAAACGGGCGCCTGAACCTACCTAAACCTCGCAAGCTTAGCGTCTAGGGTTTACGGTACCTTAGTGCAAGGTTTAGGGTTCGAAGGTTTAAGGTGTAGGGTACCTGTATCTCGGGTTTAGGGTACCTCAGTTTCGGGTTTAGGGTACCTTAGTTCAGGGTTTAGGGTAACTTCTAACATGCCCCAATTACGTGAAGGACTCATATTAAAGGGCCATCGGGGGGGTCCTGGTAACTTCTGTCCTTTAGCCCGAAACCCTTCAAACCTTCGTCAAGGAGCCTCAACTCGGAGGACTGTTTCACTCAGACTTCCTAAACTCTGTAAAGGTTCTGGGTGGGAGGTTTGAGATTGCCATGGGCCTGGGTTGAGAGATTTTGCTCAATTCGTCTGTGATGAATATGGCTTCGCTGGATTCCCTGCTTTCAACGGTGTTGTACTGCATGTGTAAGCTCTTGCCCATGCAAGTTGGTGTCAGATTTGAATACTAGGGTCCATGTCCTTGGCATGGCATTGGAAGCAGTTGTTCCAGGATTCCAATTGTGCCGCGGGGCCAGTCGCCGCTGTTGTAGCCTGAGCTCATCTGATCAACCCTATACCCTAACCCCGCCACGAGATTGGGCATGTAGGGGGGAGGGGTGGGGTCCCGGCAACTTGACTACGACCCTCAGTAATTACCCTTCAACAAACACCCACAATGTTCCGTAATCGTGGGTATCTAGGCTGTGACAGGGGGGTAGTTTCTAACCTTGCGTAAAACTTTGAGGTTGCAGCGAAGCTCAACAACCTGCACTGGCACGGGCCAAAGCTCCGAACAAAAATGGGAAAGGCTGAATCGAATTTGTGCGCCCTTTCGGGTGATGCACAAGCCCCGGAAACCGAATCCGAACGCATAGATGCGCATGCATGATACCTACCTAATTACGTGCATGCAGTGCCATGGAATGTACATGTACATGTTCGATGCACTGCGGTGCAGTGCAGTGCAATGCAATAAAATGCAGTCAAATGCGATGACATGCACTGACATGATATGAAAATGCAATGACGTGAGATGCAATGCAACGTCATGGTCAATTTTGCAATAAATGTAATTGCCAACGAATTGATGAATACAGGAACGAAGGGAAAGAAGGAAGGCAGGAATGCGTGCATGGATGGATGGACGGATCGAACGCTAAGTGCTTGAAGGAAGGAAGGAAGAAAGCAAGGAAGGAAGGCACAAATGAGTTCATCAATGTATGTGTGTATGTATGTAGGTATGTATGCATGTATGTACGTCTTATAACACTACATCCAGAAATCCCCTTAAGGGCACTTTGATAGAGCCCTTCTGGTCCTTAATAGCGGTATTTCGGTATTTGGTGTATGATAGAGAGCGGATGTGTCTCAGGTTATAATCTGACTGCACCGGCAGAGCAACCCATTCGAGAATGAGGCCTGGTTTCCGCCTACATGCGACTGGCTTTTACGAGCTACCGCGACTCGGACCGAACTTTTCATCACACGCCACATGCAAAATTAAACAACGAGTCAGAAACTGCACTGCAGACTCTAAACCCTTAACTCTCAGCCACAGGCCCGAAACAATATATATATATATATACACGACTCAAACACCTCACGCTGTCAACCCACGTCGCAGGTCTCGAAAAAATTCAGACCAACAGGAGCTAATCCAAAAACTTAAACCCTAAATCTGAACCATGAACTCTAGACCCTATAATAAACCCTAAACTAAACCCGAAACCACTCTAGACTGCATCACAGGCACTGTCGCGATCCAAAGATTTGGAGCGCAGCACCTCATCACCTGCACTCGCTATCGGCTTCGGCTTTGCCGAGCTTCGGGTTGAGGGTTCAGGGTTTAGGGTCGTGGTTTAGGGAAAACAGCTTGGGGGGGGGGGGTAAGGGTTTAGTTCAGCGTTTGGGACGCTTGGGTTGAGGGTTCAGCCTGATGCGAATTTGCAAGACTTGTTGGAGTTTAGGAATGTAGGGTGAGGTGTTTAGAGTTTGGGGTTTGGAGTTTAGGGTTTGGGATTCAGGGTTAGATTTTTGGTGTTTGGGGTTTAGAGTTGGGGTCTATAGTGTTTAGAGTTTATGGGGTTAAGAATTTGGATCCAAAACTGGCTCATTTTTCCAATACGGCGAGACTCTGGCACTTGCGATCTGTTCCTAAACAATCCTAAACACTGAACCCTAAACCCCAGACCCCGGACCCTAAGCCCTAGACAGAAGCCCTAATTACACCCTAAACTGTGGGACGTTCATCATGAGTGGGTGCCGAGAGCCTGCGTGAAAGAGCGGCACACCGTGACCCAGCGCCAGTGTAGCGCTACACAGCCAGTTTGCGCGCATGCGCTCCTGCGAAGGCTTTCTAACCTATAGGGGAAAGTCTGGGGTTGAGGAACTAGGTATTCAGGATTAGGGATCACACCTTGGGGTTTAGATGGGCTTAGGGTTCCTATGCAAAAGTATATATATATATATATATGTTTATATTTTTATATATATATATATTTATTTATATGTATATATTAT